AGGCTGTGCGGCGCGGTGCCTGCGGGGGGACTCCCAGCAGGCCGCCATAACATCACCCCACCCTCGCTGTGCCCCTCTTTCTCCAGGAGCCGCCATGGCGCAAGCCTTTGCCTCCCCAGGGCTGTTCTCTGACGATGATGGTGCAGCCTCCCCCGTTCTCGAGTCCACAGCAGCAGGGTTCGGGGCCGATGTGCGCAAGGACCTGCTGTCGGAGTTCTCTGCCATCTCTCCAAACCCGGAGTGCTCCCAGCAGGTGAGGCCGGAGCTCTTTTGTCACGAACAGGGCAGTGTCTTGACTTGTGGCTGCTGTGTCCCCCAGGGCTGTTCTCTGACGATGATGGTGCAGCCTCCCCCGTTCTCGAGTCCACAGCAGCAGGGTTCGGGGCCGATGTGCGCAAGGACCTGCTGTCGGAGTTCTCTGCCATCTCTCCAAACCCGGAGTGCTCCCAGCAGGTGAGGCCGGAGCTCTTTTGTCACGAACAGGGCAGTGTCTTGACTTGTGGCTGCTGTGTCCACACAAAGGTGTTGCGACGCGGGGCCGACAGGCTCTTCAGAAGAGGCTAGAACAAAATGCTGTGACGGGGGAGCAGGTCCTGTTACAAGCAGTGTGCTGTGAGGGGCACAGTCAGGCAGTGCCTCTCAACATGATGCCTCTTAGTGTGGCGCTTGGTCTGGGGGATGGTTTAGGTGTCAGGTCTTTGGGCTGTTGGTCTGACTCACTAGATAAACAAAAGAAATGCTGGTGAATGCCTAAGAAAGCTTCTGGCATTGCTGGAGATTCTAGGAGTAGAGAAGTGTCCATTAGTTACCGAGCACTAGTTAGAGTAGCCATGTGTGTGTGCTGTGCTGTGGTTCCTGTCAGTGTCCTGACAGCTCGTTGTGTAGTGCTTCTCTGGTTACCATGTTTAACCTATGCTGATTTTGCAGCCTGTAGCTGAAGAGAATAATGGAAAATTAAAGGTGTATCTGAGAGTTCGACCTCTGAAATCTACAGAAGTGGAAAAAGGCGAAGACCAGGTGAGACACTGAATGAAGCAGTCTCTGAGCTGGTTGCCTGTGTGCCAGCTGGGAGATACTTCTACCCTTTGCTGTCTATGCTACGGCCTCTTGTAAGCCATTGTGATGATGTGGTTTAACATGTTCTTTAGGGCTGCGTCTACATTGAGAATTCGGAGACCCTTCTTCTAAAAGCCCCTAAGGACTCCTTCACTATGCGGAGCACAGAACGTGGAGTGGGACAAGCAGCGCACAGATTTTCTTACACCCAGGTAGGTCATTGGAGCAAACAATCCCAGTTTTGCATTTTACATTTTTCAAGCTTAAGCCAGCCTCACAGCTTGAAAAGCTGTCTTACTAATACACACTGATTTCAATGCACTGTGCGAACTATGTAGTCCTGTACAGTCCTCTAAAGTTTGTTTCTGTTGCTGTTTCCTTAGTTTTTCTCTTTTTAAGCTGATCTGACAACTCGTTTTGGCAGCAAATGCCAAACTCCTGTTTTATTCATGAGGCTCTAAACACACTAGAGGCTGTAGGGATACCAGATGTTACTGGATTAAGCCTGGTTTTGGCTGGGACAGAGTTAATTTTCTTCACAGTATCTAGTATGAGGTTATGTTCTGGGTTTGTGCTGAAAACAGTGTTGATAATTCAGAGATGTTTTAGTCATTGCTGAGCAGTGCTTACACAGAGTCAAGGTCTTTTCTGCTTCTCACCCCACCCCACCAGTGAGTGAGCTGAGGGTGCACAAGAAGCTGGGAGGGGGCACAAGCCAGGACAGCTGAGCCCAACTGACCAGTGGGATGTTCCATACCACACGACATCATGCTCAGCAGATAAAGTGGGGGGAAGGAGGAGGAAGAGGAGGGACGTTTGGAGTGATGGTGATTGTCTTCCCAAGTCACCATGATGGAGCCCTGCTTTCCTGGCAGTGCCTGAACATCTGCCTGCCAGTGGGAAGGAGTGAATGAATTCTTTGCTTTGCTTGTGTGTGCAGCTTTTGCTTTACCTATTAAACCGTCTTTATCTCAGCCCACGAGTTTTCTCACTTTCACACTCCTGAATCTATCCCCATCTCACCAGCAGGGAGTGAGTGAGCAGCTGCCTGGTGCTGAGCTGCCAGCTGGGGTTAAACCCAGCTTGTTTTTGTAGGGAGCTTGGACTGGAATTACTGGTGGGTCTGCTGCTGGTGTTTAAAGGGTAGTGGAGGGAAGAAAGGACTACATAGTATCACCTGATCAACCATCAGTGGTCAAAAGATAGGAAAGATCTATATAAGGCCATTCTTCATGTGTCTTATTTGCAGATCTTTGGACCAGATGCGGGGCAGAAATTGTTCTTTGACGAGACAATGAAGCAGGTGGTAAAGGATGTACTGAATGGGCAGCACTGGCTGGTTTACACCTATGGCATCACCAATTCAGGGAAGACTCACACTATTCAGGGTAAGAAAAGCACTGGGTGTCAGCAGCCTGTTGAGGGAGTTGTCTGCTTCTGCATGTCAATCCTCAGCTTGCCGTTGCTGTTTTTGCTTCAGGCAGCAACAAAGATGGGGGGATTCTGCCTCGCTCCTTAGCAGTCATCTTCAACAGCGTTGGGGACCGGCTGTACCAAGCCATGGATCTGAAGCCTGCGCTCTCCAATGAGGTGATGTGGCTGGACAGCAGGCAGGTGCGGCAGGAGGAGACCAAGAAGCAGACCATGCTGCAGGGGGGTCTGTGGGAGGTAAGCACGCAGCTTCTTGGAGGTTTAATAATAATAATAAGAGGGAAAGGATGGTGTCATACTACATGCTCCTGTTGTCTCCTTCCAGGAGGAGCTGTTAACGCCACTTAAGAGGAGTCGTAGTGCCGAATCTCAGCTCCAGGCCACCACCAGTGGCAGTTTTGACAGTGGAGTTGCTGGCCTCTCTTCATCTAGCCAACTCACCAACCATTCAGACATCAGCCAGACAGAAGGTATGTCTGGAAGCCTGTTATGTACTACCTACTTCTTGTTGGAGGATCGGGGAGTAAAGGGTGATGGCTATTTGGATGCCGTGTTGTCGGTAAGGGAGCAAAGGTGCTGTAGTCTCACAGTTTTCCCTTTGGAAGATAAGGATGTTAGGGCTGAAGAACTTTGTATGTACGTCTTGCCAACATATGAAGAACTTGCCACTCAAGCCTTGTGAAATGAAAAGTTACTTGATAGCCACATATTTCATTCATGGGATATGGTTATTGATGAGCTGAATGCCATGCGATGGGTATAGCTGGAGAGCAGGGTGCCAAAGTGCACTTGTGCTCAGGCCTTCAAACCTAGGAACTCCGAGCTGATTAGGTATCCAAAAGCACGGTGTATCTGAGGTAAAAAAGCACTAAAACTTCACTTATACTGGGAAGAGCTCCTGTTTGAAATATCACGTGCTTCTGGAGTCAAGATCAAGTGTATAGAACCCCTAACATGAAGAAGGGTTAAAGGAAACCTTGGGCTGTCTGACTGGGGACAAGCATTAATGTAGGTCCAAACAGGAGGAAGTATATAGAGCAGACTTGAGTCTGGGGTAGTGTTCCTGCCTGAGACACCTCAGTCTATAGCTAAACCATTGAGATTGGACCTGTGAAAAGCTGCAGTCACGATTTTTCTCTTTCTTTATCTTTTCCCCAGAA